ACACGACATATAATTCAAAATGATTAAATATACAACAGCAAATAGCTGTAGCATTGCACTTGAAATAGCATGAACTTTTATTGCCGATCAAAACTGATTTCTTTAGCTTAACAAGTATCCATAGAACAATTATTTGAAGAGCTTTTAAGAGTTTCAACATACAGGAGCTAGAGCTCATCTACATTCAGAATCTTAAATCTAATAAACAAGAAACAAATATATAAATTACTAAATAATCTTGTCTTATAAGTAGACATTCAAATCACTAGGAAGCTAAGTTCAGTCGAAGAATGAAAATATTATTCTCTGTTTTGTGGTGAAGGGCTTTCCTTTTCCTATACCTTTGCAAAGAGCATCTGCCAAAAGAGTTCGCAGATTCTTAGGCAATGACCAGGGGCTAGTCTGGAATCAGAGCATTCACCCACTACCTACGTCAATAGAATGGGCAACATCAGAGGAGCACAGAGGAGAATGATGTACAGCAAGTACAGTACTTCTTTTCCTACAGTAGAACCATTTTTTAAGTTTAACTTGCTGCCTCATATCTAGAAAGATCCATAGGTCTGCAAGATTGCCAAGTCCTCGCCCCTCTACCAATTCTGATGTCAGCTAGAGTCACCGGTGGCTGAGAGACTGAGCACACAAACATCTGCTCACATTTGGTACTTGCTAAGAGCGGTATGGAAAGTAATACACTGTGCATGAGTAACACATGATTTTCAAATAGTTATGGCTTTATTTCTCAACTACATTTCTTCAGACAAAGCAAAGCCCACATTCCTCACTGAGTACTCTGTACACACCACATCTTAGTTGTAAGACAAAACCCCTGAAGACAAGAAGGGTGCACGGCGTTCCTCAGAGACTGATGGGGAGGAACCCCCGCCTACCCCTGGGTGGGTGGAGCCATGACATTCATGCCTGACCTGCCAGAAGCAGAAGGGCAGGACAGGAAGTATAAAAGGCAGCTCAGTTGGGCGAGAGCCGCCGGAGGAGACAGACGACTCCCGCCCGTCGCTGGGGCACGAGCCCAACAGAGACCTACTCTGCGCCAAGGACCCAGAGGTGCTGCCAGAGCTGCCTGCTGACAGGGACGCCAAGGAGCTGTTTGGGGCTGCCATTAGCTGTATACCCTAGGGAGATGGAGGACAACCCCGAGCAACAGGTACACAATGACGGGAGTGTAGGAAATAGCCCAGGGACACCAGACTTTAGTCCAGTTGTGTTGTTGCCTGAATCCAGGTCAGCGTGTTTTGGCTGGATCCCCGCTGACTCAGTGATGGAACCATCTGCCACTGTTAGGGCCCTAGGCTGGCACCCGGTGGAGTAGGGTGGGCCCGGGTCCCCCTACCTCCTGCTGCCAACCCCACCTCTGGGGTGACAGCCTCCCTACCTTAGGCCAAGGGGCCTGCGTTTGTCTGCTGTCTGCCAGAGCTAGGACGTCAGACTGTTTGGTGCGCCGCCCTGTCTGAGGGCCCGAGCCCCGAGACTGTTTGTGGCCCTGCCGAGCCTGAGCCCCGGATGGCTTGCTGTCTGGCCCTGCTTAGAGGGCTCCAGCGCTTGAGAGATTGCTAATTCCCCAGTAAACTTTGCCTGAACAGTGGCCCAACTGTGAGGGGGCGTGGCCTCCCTCAGATACCGACAGGGAGGGATAGCCACACACTTATTGAATGGATTTTGTCCTTGGATGATCCAGAAGGGATAAATGGAATTTCTTCAAATTTTCCAAGATGATTCACTTCCAGGGTCATTCAGACCAAGCATGAGAAGTTTCAGTCCCAAGGTAATGTTAGGAGAAAGCTGCAAGCATGTGATTATTGAGGCTTAGAATTAAAGTGCCATCTCAACCTTCACTATAGAGTCATATTAGTGACATGTAATAAAACTCTTGATGTTCTAAAAATACAGCTGTTTAAACTACAGAATAAAATAATACACCTGACTTCTGACGTCTGCTGGTTGTAATAATTTACTCAGAAACTCTGCACTTGAGCACTCTGGGACTTTTCCTTTAAGTCACAAGATTCTAGGCTTGTCGAAATCATAACTTGATTATTGGCTGCTTTGTGACTCCAGCATTAAAAAAACCTTTCCTTTCAATAAATAATAGCCTGTCTTGAGTCTCTTGGCCAAATTCTGCTTAGTTACACATGAGTGAATCCATAGTTAACCTACTGATTTCAATGAACCTACCCTGGATTTACACTGGTGTAAGTGAGAGAAGGATTTGTCTCTGTCTCCTCTCTGCCCTCCTCTCTAATGTTCTATAAAGAGACAAAGGTACATCAGGTGCAATTCCACATGCAGAGGGCCAACCCCAAGGCCTATGCAACATTTAAGTCCTAGAGGAGGAGCATGAAGAACAGGCAGCAAAGCAGAATCAATCTCAGACTAGGAGAAGCAGGAGCAGGGATTGCACCAGTTAAGTTAGCATCAGGAGGACGGAAGCAGAAGGGAAGCATATTACACCAAAAACATCTTTGTTTTGTTATCAGTGGGGCAGAGCTGCTAGTAACACTCAGTTATTCCCTTTCATTCCACCGCCTCAGCAGGGAATGACTTCTACTTCTAACTGTAATTTCTCTTTGAAAACTATGGTGTCTAGTGTCTACACTCCCAGAATGCCATAGCTCTCCTTTAACCCTGGAATTTGCTCTCCATTTGACAGCAAATCTAAAATCTCATATTTTATGCTTTTCATTGAAAGATGCAAAACTCTGGATATTCATCTTCAGGTCTTTGTATTGGCCACTCAATAAAAATGGTGTGAGGAGTATGAGTTCTCAAAGGCTATATTCCTTTAGCGGCAGTAGCAGGGTCTAACTCCAACATGACTGATTGAAAAATGTGACCAGGATTTCTTCTCACAAATAGGTATTTCTGCATGTTCTTTTTATGTCTGCAATTTTGTGTATTAGATGATATTGGGGAAAAAAAGAAAAGATCCAAAAAGCACATGAACAGACTACAGAATTTTCAGTATACCTCCCCAGGAAGAAATGGTTTATAAACTGAGAAATAATTGCAAATCTTTTTTAAAAAATTGAAATCCTTGACTAGTAACACTAGGAGAAATGAAACCATTGTTTTCATTATGCACCCTGGACCTGGTCTCAATTACACTAGGGCCCTGTTGCACCACTTGGCAGTGAGGGGCCTTAATGTAAATGAGCCTCCGGCCCTCGATATTTGTGAAACTGAAGTCCTGCTAACTGAGGCAGGAATCTCTATGATACTCTGTGTACACACATTGCATTAAAGAAAAGCAAACTGCAACAAATTCAAATAGAGCCTTCTCTTTTCCTTGCTAGAAAGATGTTTTGATTCATTGATTGTTTGGCAGGAGAGTCAGTGCTAAAGGCAGAGTGCCTCCTTTCCCTGCTAGCTCAATCAGCAATGAAGCAAGCGGCTTCACAACAAACAAAGGTGAAAGGCTGGGGCTGGAGTATCCTCAAATCCCACTCCCAGACCTGAGGAAGATGGTGTCATTTGGCTAAACCTGTCAAGCTGTTGTAAGAGCTTCCTGAATGCTTCCTACCATCTGCTTTTGATGCTTTCAAGACTTGGACAGAAGCCTGGAGGTTTTCCTGCTTTTTCCTGACCAACCTTTAAAGGAATAGTTCTGGATCTGTTCCCTGTCATTCCAGCCTCTTTCCTCAGTTTCTTCTGCCTACAGCTGTTTTTTTTTTAACTGCAGTGGCCTTGTGCCCTGAATTATTTCTCTTGGGGAAGTCAACATTCCTCTGATGTCGAACAAGTGCTGGATCTTTCAATTGTGTTCGTGTTCTTAGAGGAAGGGTATGGCTACATGATACATTCCTCCTTCACACCCATGTTGACAAATTTAACTTTACGCTAGTATTGGATTCTCAAAGGAATGTTAATAGAAAAGAGATCAGAATAATCTACTGCATATTCTACTTATAATTATCTCGTTAGACTGCATTCTATGATGTGATGTTAGTGAATATCGATTGATACAATCTGTAGGCTATAGAAACAAATGTAGCTAAGGACAATGAGTTCAAAGCATACATTTAAAAAACAATAAATTGAATTCCTAGGCGTTCCCGCATATACTAATCTGTGCAGGTTCCTGTGTTTTTGGAAAGCATTTTACTTATCTTACTCATCAGTAGGCCCACTCTAGTATTTTGGATTAGTGCCATTTGTAATAATCTAAATCAGTATTTATTGAGGGTTTATGAAACAGGCTAAGTACTAGAGGGTATATGATACCTCCACAGTTCATTTAGTCTCCCCTCTTCCCCTCCCACAACACTATATCCAGACATGATCCTGCAAGTGTTAGACTCATAGAATATCAGGGTTAGAAGGGACCTCAGGAGGTCATCTAGTCCAACCCCCTGCCCAAAGCAGAGCCCATCCCCAGTCAGATTTTTACCCCAGTTTCCTAAATGGCCCCCTCAAGGATTGAGCTCACAACCCTGCGTTTAGCAAGCCAATACTCAAACAACTGAGCTATCCCTTCCCCAAGCACTGACACAATCCAGCAAGGCACTTAAATATGTCTCTAATTTGAAGCAAGTGAGCAGTCTCACTGCAATCAAAAGGACTATTCCCATGCTTAAAGTTAAGCACATACTTAATTGATCAGGGCAGAGAGCTTGACACCTTGCCGGACTGAGCCCATTGAAAAGATAGATATCTATCTTGAAAACACTGTCTTGCTGGGCATCATAATGGAGAATGAGTCTGCCTGGGTTTAAAAGCTATTAAATATGAATCAAATGCATTTATTCATATGTGCCTGTGAAAACATCACTTATAATTTCGTAAATAATGTGCAGGATGGTTTATACAACTTTCCTTGGAATTAACTAATTGATACAAACAATCCATGTTGTTTGAAATATTTTAGTTCAGTAGCTGCAGAACTTGAATATAGGTTTTTAAATTTCAGCTATAATCATGCATGATAGAATGTATGTGAAACAAAGTCAACTTACACTGTACTTCCAGATGAATAAAACACATACCTGCGTTCCTCAAAAACCTGAGTTTGTAGTCAATGACAACTCTGGTATTAGTATTATAGAATCCATCACCACAGTCATAACAGCCTTGTGGAATCGTTCTGGGAGGATCTAAATTTGTAAGCTGAGAGATACCTGAAAAGACACAGTATAATTTATTACAAAAACAAAAAATCCCATTTTTTTTTACAACTGTACTCTTTTATCAAAATAAAAAATGATAATAAATATATATTATTTTACATCTCTATAGCACTTTCCATCACAAGATCTCAAAGCATTTTATAAACTTTACTAAATTAAGATTTCTATCACTCCTGTGGTAGGTAATTATTATGACCATTTTGCAGATGGAGAAACTGAAGCATAGAGCGGCCCACCCAGAAAATGTTTGGCACAAAAAGGAAGAGATCTTGGTTACCCTACTCACAGTCCTGTGATTTAGCCCATAAGGCTAATACTATGAACATGCAGCGAAAACTCCAAAATAAGGCCAAGAAAGTCTAGCCATGTCTTAAAGAGACATGTCATTGTTCAAATGTTGTATAGTAAGCCTGCAGTTCACTATGCCAATATATTATTCAGTGATTATCACATAATTTTTTCACCTTTTAGTCATAGATGAACTAGTAAATGTGTCTAACAGACAAATTTTATAGGCTGGACATAAAGTAAGTATATATTTTCATATCCACTCAAAATTTGTCATTTTCAAGCCACACATTTCATGTACCATGCTGTTAGTGGATTTCTGTTACTCTTTCAGGTACTTTAGAACATTATGCAAAATTATGAGTGCAAGATAATATATCTTTTTTTGTTTTATGTCCCAGTTCTCTGTAATAAAAATATGTCTAGAATGCGGTGAATGTGAAACCCATAAAAAGCTTAATCAGATGTCAGAAATTGCTAGGTAACAAATGTCCTGCCCTCATGACATGATCACTCAAGAAGAGACTATTCACCACATTTGTTAGTGTCATGTGGATGGAGTTCTGAAATAAACCAGAATATTCCTGCTCCAAGTTACTCATGTAGGTGAATTAATCTCTCTTAATAAACATAGTTGTTGGTTTAAATCCTTCCAGACACAAATGCAACACAGTACCTGCTGGTTTTAGGCCGGAACAGATTTCTGTATAAAATCTTCTGTCATAGCCATCACAATAATGCCATTTTTTATCTTTGAATTCAAGACCATCTGCAAAGGTGTATTTCCCCTGCAAAACAAATTCAAGTACCGAACTAATAAGTGTGATGAATGGAGTGAAGAATAACAATTTTTTATATCTATTACCAAGGATGCATGTTATCTGAGAATAAATAATATACAGTTTTGCTCCACATTTAAGTGCAGGTTTAAATGATGCCTGCAGATCCATAAGAACCACATTCCATAACCAAATCATTTCCCTGTTCAGTGGGAAATAGCTATTGTCCATGCAATAGGGGAAGCCAACATTGAGAGTCAAAAAGCCATCAATGGGAAAGGAGGTGATTTGAAAGCTTCCACTTATTTCATGATACAAACATTTCTGAATGTACAGTCTTTGAACCAGGGAGAATTTCCCCTAAAGCATATTGGCAGTAACCTTTGGGAGCAAAGGGGTTTTAACTTTCTTTTGATACAGAGCAGGGATCAGCTTTTAGATAAGATGGGCATACCCCCACCCAATCAGATTCCTATGACTGCAGCGGGGGTTGGCATAGGTGAACTTCCAACCTCCTCGTGTTCTATTCCTATGTTTCTAAGCCTTCAGCATCACATCTAAAGGACTACTGATATAATACCTCTTTCGATATTCCGCAGTCCCAGATTCCTTCATATTTGCTTCTATTAGGAAAATACAAGGTTCCTTTGCCATGAAACATTCCATCTTTCATTGTGCCATTATATTTGGTTTCAGTTGGGAGAGTGTAGCGGCCTTTCCCTTCAATCCTGTGAATGATAATCAGGAATTGTTTAAGAACACTTGACTAGATGTCCAAAAAGGCAAAACCCCACAACTGGTGAAGGCCTTACTGGTTAAAAAAATGACCTGGTTTAGAGGGGAAGGCAGCTATAAAAATAATTTTAAAAATTTACAAATGGAAGAAAGGGGAGATTGATAGTAATTAATATAAATCAGAAGCTATGAACAGTAGAAAACTGATAACCATTTTTAAGCACCCTGAGAAAGGGTGGATAATAATGGCTGTTATTTACAAGGCAGCTTTCATCCAACAACCCCCACCAAATGCATTTCAAACTGCATTTACAAACAGGGATCAATGTACCCACCATTTAACCACAGCCATTTCTGGGGGTTAACAGTCCCAGCAACATCATCCAAAAGTTTAGGACAGGATGTGAAAACACCTTTTGCAACAGGAACTACAAGTGGAATGCTAGGGAAACAAAATTGAATCAGCCTTTAAGAATTTGGCCAGGACAATAGGGCAAACACGCCTAGCTTTGGAAAAAATAAAAATAAAAACCACCTGCCATTGAATCTTTAATAACCATAAGATGTCGGGTTTACATCTCATCCAAAATGTGACAACGACGACAGCAGCAAAGCACCCTCTATCAGCAGGCTGTGGCATTGGACGGAAGCGTCTAACCTATGAATCACCAATATCATTTCCTGCAGCATTTGTACACTATTTACAATTATTAATAGGGAATGTCCTAGACTCCTCCTACCACTCTCCAGTGTCTCCAACAAGGCAGTGTGGTTGAGTGATGAATAACACGAAGCCGGTTTATCCTCACATCCCCCAGCATGGTAACTTTAGCCCCATTTTACAGATAGTGATGCAGAGAAGTTAAGGCCCAGATTTGCAAAGATATTTAGGCTCCCAAAGATGCAGACAGGTGCCCAGTGGGATCTTCAAAAGCACCTAGATGCCTAACTGCCATTGATTTCAATGGGAGTTGGGAGACAGACGATGAAACACTTTTGAAGATCCCACTAGGCACCTATGTGCATCTCTAGGTGCCAAAACACCTTTAGAAATCTGGCCCTAAGTGACTTGCCCAGGGCCACTGGAAGCTGTTTCAGGAGCAGGATTAGACCTCAGCTATGTCACTCTCGCATTAAAAGGTCCCAATTGCCAAGGAGGTCCCAACCCGGGCTTGTACTTCCACTCCTGCAATTCTGCGGGCACAAGCAAGCAGGCGTGCAAGGGGAGTGCCTCTAGGAGCTTCCCCACGTGGAGGTTTTCACACCCAGAGATTGTTCACGCTGGGGGATTGTCACACCCTGCATTTCACACAGTGTCATGGCCCAGCACCGTGGGGTGATGGCCCAGCCCTGCCCCCGCGTTCCCCACGGCTGCCCATCCCCCCTCGACCCCAGCCCCCACCTGCCATGCACATAGTCCCCGAGGTAGGTGCTGCCCGTGACCTCCATGGTGCCCGCCCGGGACGCGCCGCGGCCTGGGCTCAGCTAGGCAGCAAACTGTCACCATGGTAACAAGACGGAGGGCGGGGCATGAGGGGGAGGAGCAGGCGGGGACAGAGAACAAGCTCCGCCCCCACGTAGTGCACCCGCTGCCGACCCGCTTCTCGCTGGCTTCCAGGTGGCGCATGCGCACTAGTTCCGCGAGACCTGGTGGCGCATGCCCAGTGGCGCGGGGCCTGCCTCTGTGCCGGGAGGGCGCCGAAGGGGAGCTCAAGGAGACCGGCGCGCGGGCTAGCGCCATGCCGGGCTCGCTGGAGGTGCCCTCGCTGGAGGAGCTCGATGTGCAGGAGGTGAGAGCTGTGCCCACGGGCGGTCTTCCCCTCCGGTCCGGGGACCCCTTGGCTGGTGGCGCCCCCCCGACCGGGG